GCTGCTCATGTTATTCATGTTTTATAGGATCAAGCTTCTATTCTTTAAGCCTATGCCCTGTTCTGCACTGATGGGCTAGGGACAGACATTACACAAACTGATTTAAGTGATCAGCAACTGGTTTAAACCTGTAACAGGTAAGTTCAGTGCACATAAACCAGTTTCAAAATGGCTGGTTTAAGCCAAACTGGTTTAAGATAAACCTGGTTGAATGCAGTATCAGACTTAACTGATTTGGCTCAAACCAGTTTATGCAATGTCTGTCCCAGGCCCCTTCCTCGTTTAAGTTAAAGCAGAGTCCCCCAGCATCTCAGATGCTTTTCAGCCCTGGGTTTGATTGTGCTGTGCTGTCTGCTCCAGAGAACAGGGATGACCCTGCCCCTCTCCAATTTCACTGGAACAGGCAGACAGAACAGTGTCTGCTTAGGACTTTTTGGAGCTAATCAGCAGGTCAGCTGGTGATATCCCTCTGTTCCTTCCTTGGAAAGAGCTGTTTAAGAAGAGCAGCTTTTGTTTTACTGATGGGCTGATAAACGCTGTGTTATCAGCCACCTGTTGACTCCCTCACCTGTCAGGTTTGCAGACAGTATAAAGAAGTAGGGACAGGGAGATTGAAAAGCTCAGTATCATCAACAGATACATGCACTGCACACATCTCCTTTGCCTCGGAGTGCTAACCTGGGGCTGGGAACACTCCCACCCCTTGAGCAGCGAGTGAGAAAAAGCCTGGGGTGGTGCAGGCAGGGTGGGGGTTAACACCCCTCCCTATTCAGAGCATCCTGCTGGGGCCTGGCCATACCTCCCTCAGCTCAGCATAGTGGAAGAGAAAGGAGGGATGCTCTAGTGCACCCCAGCTTTTAGCCTGAGCCACTGCAGGTATGTTCCAGCACTTCCTCAGTCCAGAGGGAATGCCTGTGCAGTTGCAAACCAGACCAACCTAGCCAGGTTAGACTAACCTTCAAAGATTGAATCAATCTAGGCTCAGGCTTTTTGAATGTCTGTCCCTAGCCAGGTGGTATTTCCTGATTCTGGAAAGAGGTCAAAAAGGAATTGCAGTTTTTTTTGTTCTTGATTTCTGATGACTGTCATGGAATGGGGGTCCCCAGGGATGGCCGTGATACCTCTAGGTCTCCTTGACCATGCCAGTCCTGCCCAATGGGCACCCTCTCTCTTCTGCCACGTCTTGCTGTACCTGTAATAGATGGGGAGGCTGCCCTCAAGTTTATATTTTTTGGACACGGTCCTGATGGATCCCACTGAACCCTGTGGGTTCTCGGACCCCTTTTGGGTCCTGCTCCAAAATGGATGCCTCTCAGGACACCCTCAGCCTTATGGGCTAGATGCATGGCTCCAAACTGCCCCTTTACCACGCCTCAAGCCTCACAGATGGCATTCACACAGTGTCCCTCTGAGGCCTTACTTTAACTTGGCCTTTGGTCATCACTGGGCTCTCCACAGCCTTCTCTCTCTCTCTCGGTGCCCCCGGCACTGGGGTCTGCTCACCCCCTTTGTCACCACGCTCACACTGGTGCTAGGGTCCCCACACTGCAGTGGGCCCCACAATGAGGCCTCCTCCTTCCCCAATACCATCAGCCCAATCCACCGGTTTATAAACAGAAATCAAAATACAATTTTGGGCTAAAACATAATGCAAGCAGCTCAAGGTGTGCTCTGTCCCTTTAAAAGAATCACCCTTCCCCCCCAGCACTATGTGCCTTGTAGGCCAGGATATTTGTTAAGCTCCTGAAGCCCCTCAGTCTTACCAGAAGCCAAATGGGCAGCCAAGCCTCTTCACTTAACTTCCTCTAGGAGAGCGCCCTCCCCCTTGGCTACTAGCACAGAACTGACTCTCTGGTCCCAGCCCTGGGGTTTACATATGCTCCAGGCCCTGCCTCTTCTGGTCACCTGACTGCCTGCAGATGGGGCGCTGGCAGGTGTGGGCTAATTCCTTCCTTCCTTCCTGCTGCCATGGTAACTTGCAGCTGAGGGGTTCCTGACTGACTGCTAGGGCTCTCTCCCTAGGCAGTTTCAGCCCTTAAAGGACCAGGCACCTTAGTGCCCTGCGACAATGACAACGACCCATACAACAATGAACCTGATGCTTCCAGGGTCAAAAAAAAGTGGCGCAGCACACATGGAAGCAGCATGTGCTGCCAGAAAGGGAGCCTGGCCAACCAGAGCAAACTCTGGCTGCTGGCCAGGCCCCAAGCGGCCAACTTGGCCCTGCTGCTGCTTCAGAAGGCCCTCAAGCCCTTAGGTCTTCTCAAGAGTAAATCAGTGGTACCTGTGATCTTTTTTAAGATTTCATCTCTTACAGTGGTTGAAAAGTAAATGTATGAATTAGATGACAGTTCTCCTTCCTGCAATAGTGGAGAGAACATTTTTGCTGAAGAACTTACTAGATGGCTCAAATGTACTTGGAAACTAGCATTCTGCCTTAATTGTGATAAACATGCTACACCTGCAAAATCTGATTAAAATCACTGATTTAACTCAAAATTCAGTTTTTACTCTTAGAAAATTCTGTTTTTACTCTTAGGGCTAACTAGAGCCCTCTCCACTCAGACTTCACAACCAAGGGCTATACATAATGAGTTTTAGCAATAATTAAGGTTGGGGAGTATCCTCTTACCTACAGTGGTATGATATTCAGTAAATCAGAATAGATTCAATGGAGCTTCTAAGGATATTACCCAGTATTTTGAAATTCATAGATTCATAGATTCATAGATGTTAGGGTCAGAAGGGATCGCAATAGATCATCAAATCCGACCCCCTGCATATGCAGGAAAGAGGGCTGTGTTCAGATTACCCCAGCTAGATGCCTATCTAACCTCCTCTTGAAGACCCCCAGGGTAGGGGAGAGCACCACCTCCCTTAGGAGCCCGTTCCAGACTTTGGCCACTCGAACTGTGAAGAAGTTCTTCCTAATGTCCAGTCTAAATCTGCTCTCTGCTAGCTTATGGCCAGTATTTCTTGTAACCCCCAGGGGCGCCTTGGTGAGCAGAGCCTCACCAATTCCCTTCTGTGCCCCCATGATGAACTTATAGGCAGCCACAAGGTCGCCTCTCAGCCTTCTCTTGCAGAGGCTGAAAAGGTCCAGGTGCCCTAGTCTCTCCTCATAGGGCTTGGCCTGCAAGCACTTAACCATACGAGTGGCCCTTCTCTGGACCCTCTCCAGGTTATCCACATCCCTCTTGAAGTGCGGCGCCCAAAACTGCACGCAGTACTCCAACTGCGGTCGGACCAGTGCCCGATAGAGGGGAAGTATCACCTCCTTGGTTCTCTTTGTCATGCACCTGCTTATGCATGATTTTGATGACTTCATCACACTGACGACTCATATTCATCTTGGAGTCCACTAGGACTCCAAGATCCCTTTCTGCTTCTGTGCTACTAAGGAGGTCATTCCCTAGGCAGTAGGTGTGCTGGACATTTTTCCTCCCTAGGTGCAGCACTTTGCATTTCTCCTTGTTGAATTGCATTCTGTTGTTTTCTGCCCACTTGTCCAACCTGTCCAGGTCTGCTTGCAGCTGTTCCCTGCCCTCTGGTGTGTCCACTTCTCCCCATAGCTTTGTGTCATCCGCAAACTTGGACAGAGTACACTTCACTCCCTCGTCCAAGTCACTGATGAAGACATTGAAGAGTATCAGTCCAAGGACCGAGCCCTGCGGGACCCCACTGCCCATGTCCTTCCAGGTGGATACCGACCCATCTACCACCACTCTCTGGGTTTGACCCCCTAGCCAATTTGCCATCCACCGAACTGTGTAATCATCCAAGTCACAGCCTCTTAACTTGTTCACCAGTATGGGGTGGGATACCGTATCGAAGGCCTTCCTGAAGTCTAAGTAGATGATGTCAACCGCTATTCCTGCATCCAGGTGTTTTGTAACCTGGTTATAAAAAGAGACTAGATTAGTCAGGCATGATCTACCTGCTACAAACCCATGCTGTTTTCCCCTCAGCATAATTTTTTCCTGCTGGGCTCTCACATATATGAGCTGTAATAATCTTTTCAAAGACTTTGCCAAGGATGAAGGTAAGAGTGACTGGCCTGTAGTTGCCTGGATCCTCCTTCCTCCCCTTCTCGAAAATAGAGACCACACTGGCCCTTTTCCAGTCCTCCGGGACCTGGCCTGGGCACCACGTGTGTTCAAATATTCTTGCCAGTGGCTGTGCAATGACATCAGCCAGTGCCTTCAGTACCCTTGGATGGAGCTCATCCAGGCCTGCTGACTTAAATGCATCCAGTCCTTCCAAGTGACTCTGCAACATCTCAGGGTCAACGCTTGGTAGTCTGGTGCCCTGCTGTTGTCTCTCTACAATCGCATTGTGAGACTTGTCTTGCCCCTCGTTTAGGAACACTGAAGCAAAGAACTCATTGAGGAGTTCAGCCTTGTCCCCCTCGTCTGTCACCAATTTCTCTTGTCCATTCAGTAGCTGTCCTATTCCTCCCTGGGCCTTTCTTTTCCTCCCTATATATCTGAAAAACAATTTTTTGTTATCCTTAACTTGGGATGCCATCCTCATCTCCATGGTAAATTTGGCCTTTCTAACTGTCTCCCTACAACTGCGAGCTGAGGAGGTATACTCCTCTTTAGTAATCCCTCCCTGTTTCCACTGCTTATATACCCCCAATTTTGCCCTTAGGCTGCTCTGGGTTTCTCTGGTCAGCCAGGGAAGCCTCTTGGCCCCTTTCCCCGCTTTGCTCCGCATTTGGATCATCTTCCTCTGTGCCCAAAGGATAGTTTCCTTAAGGCACAGCCACCCTTCCTGGGCTCCCATCTTGCTAAATCTCTTACTCTGCAGTGTCATAGACTAAATGCCTGAGTTCACTGAAGTCAGCCTTCCTTAAGTCTAGCACTTCCGCCCTACTAGTTACCTTACCCACTCTACACCTTATGACGAATTCTATTATTTGGTGCTCACTGTCCCCCCAGGTGACCACTGATCTGTAGGTCTCCTACCATGTCATCCCCTGTTGCCAATACCAGGTCTAGTGAGGCATTCCCCCTAGTGGGAATATGTACCTCCTGTGTCAGGTGGAGGTCCTGTACACAAGATAGGAACCTGTGTGAATGGTGGGGATTTGCTGTCTGCATCTCCCAGCAGATGTCTGGGTAGTTTAGGTCCCCCATGACTACCGCCTCCCTAGCCTTTATGGTCTCCAAGAGCTGCCTCAGGAGTTCCAAATCTAGTACTTCTCCTTGGTGTGGGGGTCTGTAACAGGCCCCTACCCCCAAATCTCTTTCCCCTTGTCCTCCATGGATCCTAACCCACAATCCTTCTACTTTCTCCTCCTCCGAATCCATTTTGATAAGGGTTGATGTATAACACTCCTTGACATAGAGTGCAACCCCTCCCCCTCTCCCCCCCACTCCTTTCTGTACAGCTTATAGCCCTCAATGTGTACTGCCCAGTCATGGGTAGAGTCCCACCAGGTTTCAGTTAGCCCCATTAAGTCATAAGTGTTTTCTGCAAGCAGGAGTGCTAATTCATCCTGCTTGTTCCCCATGCTCCTAGCGTTGGTGTATAGGCACTTGAGCCCTGTGACTGGTGCCTTTGTTGCCCCCCAGCTCTGATGCCCAATGGGCCCCCTATTGCTTACCTGCTTATTTCTCACCTGTGCTGTACTGCTGGCTGTCCCTTGGATTGTAGGTTCCTGATGTTCTCTTTCTTCTTCCTCTCCGTCCCCCATCTGAGCTAGTTTAAAGCCCGACCTAGGAGATCAGCCAACCTGTTGGAGAAAAGACTTTTACCTTTCGCTGAGAGGTGAAGTCCATCACGCCCCAGGAAGTCCCCTGCCAGGAAGTGTGGGTCGTGGTCCAGGAAGCCAAATCCTGCACCATGGCACCAACTCCTGAGCCGCAGGTTGACCTCTCTGATGCAGGTGCTGTGGTGCCTACTGCGACCTCTGACCGGGAGGATGGACGAGAAGACCACCTGTGCCCCTGTCTCTCTAAGCCTGGCCCCCAGAGCCCTGTAGTTGCCCATGACACGGTCAGGACTACTCCTAGCCACGTCACTGGTTCCCACATGAATGAGGACCATGGGATAGTAGTCTGAGGGCCGGACCAGATCAGGAATCCTTGTCGTGACATCCTGGATCTTGGCCCCGGCAGGCAACACACCTTACGCGCCATGGGATCTGGGTGGCAGATGTTTCCCTCTGCTCCTCTCAGTAGGGAATCGCCCACTACGATGACCCACCTCCTCTTCCTCCGGTAGCTTGTCTGGTCCTCAGCTTGCATGAAGATGGATTGGGATACTTCCTGTGCCGCTTCCTCCACTGCACTCTCCTCCATTGCAGCCAGGGCTTCATATCTGTTCCCTAACTGCACCAGTGGATCCATTTCTGCAGTGAGCGGCTTGCCCCGGGAGGTGACGGTCGTCCATCCTTCCGTATCAGCTTTGGGACTTCTGCAGTCTGCTCCTCTGCCTGGTGTCTGGCTCTGCAGAGAAAGGAAGTACCCATTAATCTCCTCCTCAATTGCCCTGATCCCCCTCAGCCTGCTCACCTCTGCCTGGAGTACCGCTACATGCCCCTCCAGTGCCTCAACCTTGGCACGTGTGGGACAGGCAGGGGGACCCCTGGCCTCCCCCTGGCCCCCAGGCTTCTGAGAACCTGCCAGGCAAACCCTGCATGCAGGGTGCCCAGGTGCCACTGCCCCGGTCCAAGGCTCCATCTGGGTGGAGGCCTCAGAGGCTCCCCAGGAAGTGGGCAGCATCAGGGCAGGGTCCCTGGCTGCTCTCCGAGTTACCACCCCCATCAAGCTCCCCACACGTTCTCTCCCCTGGAGAGTCACTGGCCCTCCCTGCTCTCCGCCCTGC